ATATATTTGCTGATCAAGTTTGGTCATTCCCAGCTATATCATAATAAATTAGTTAGGAAAATGGCAGTAGGAAATTTAAGTTCTTGACAACATTTTCCCTGTGGTACCTTGTTGTTTGCATTTTTTTTTGGAGGTGTTGATTGCAAGTTTCAATAAGATAGTTTGTGAGATTCGTAAATCTTTTTCGTTTAAATGATAATTTTTTATTTAAATTCCTAAAACATTTCTTGCCTAACTTTGGCACTGGCATGCATGCTATGTTTTCAATCATTTATAAAATGTATAGCATTTAACAATCATAATGCTGGTTGCCTCTATTTACTGTGTCCCCCTTTTTTTTTTCTTATACAGGTCCAATTAGACGTGTGACATCAACAAACTTGAAGTACTTAAACTTGTCACACAATAGTCTTCAGGGAACTTTACCAATCACTTTTGGAAGCTGTTCAGTAGTTGATCTGAGTGGAAACATGTTATATGGGAACTTATCAGTTGCCCGAACATGGGGAAATTATCTCCAGATGGTTGATCTGAGCTCAAACAGATTAACAGGAAGTTGGCCAAATGAGACAACCCAGTTTTTGAGGCTGACATCTTTGAGGATTTCCAACAACTTGTTATCAGGAGAACTGCCAATTGTTCTTGGAACCTATCCAGAGCTGATTTCCATTGACCTCAGTCTTAATGAGCTGCATGGACCTTTGCCTGGAAGTCTGTTTACGGCGGTTAAGCTGACTTTTCTAAATCTTTCAGGCAACAGTTTTGCAGGGACTCTCCCGCTTCGAAATTCTGATACCAAGAACTCGACTTTTATAGACTTGTCCATTCTTCCTGTGCAAACTTCAAACCTCTCATATGTTGATCTTTCAAGCAATTTTTTGAATGGCTGGCTGCCAGTGGGCATTGGTGATTTGAGTGCATTGACATTGCTGAACCTTCGTCAGAACAACTTTACTGGCCAAATCCCAAGAGCAATCACCAAACTGAAGAATTTGTTATTCATTGACTTATCAAGCAACAATTTCAATGGTAGCATACCTGATGGCCTCCCTGATGATCTGGTTGAATTTAATGTTTCCTACAACAACCTGTCTGGCTCTGTTCCAAGTATTTTGTTGAAATTCCCAGATTCATCTTTCCATCCAGGGAATGAATTACTTGTTCTTCCTCGCTCCGAATCACCAAATGGCTCTGACAAATCAGATGAGGGCAGACACGGCTTGAAGCGTGGGATTCTATATGCATTGATTATCTCTGTCGTTGTATTTGTTACTGGGATTATTGTGCTTTTGCTTGTTCATTGGAAGATCAATATCTGGAAGAGTAGCGATAAAGGTACTGGCCAAGGTAAACAAAATGTGAATCAAGGCCAGAGTGCTCAGAGTCAGAGAAGTGCAGAAACTTCAACAAGTGGAGTGCAAGATGTAACATTAGGATCGTTACCTTCTGCAGAGTATGGAGCTGTTCCATTGCCTGGCAAGGAAAGACAGCATGAAGCCCAAGATGTGCCAATTGATGCTGCTTATTTCAATGAACCAGCAGGTAGTAGCTCAGCCATTAAAGACAGCACAAAGTCTTTGATGCCTTCTTTGTCATCGTCACCTCCTGATTTGCACTCCCAGCATCATCACTGTATCCTTAGAGTGCACTCTCCTGATAAACTGGTTGGGGATTTACATCTTTTCGACAATTCAGTTGTGTTCACGGCTGAAGAGCTCTCTCGTGCCCCTGCCGAGATAATTGGCAGGAGCTGCCATGGGACATCCTACAGGGCTACTCTTGACAATGGGCACATGCTGACAGTGAAGTGGCTGAAGGAGGGCTTTGCTAAGAGTAAGAAAGAATTTTCCCGTGAAATAAAGAAGCTTGGTAGTGTACAACATCCCAATCTTGTCCCGTTGCGTGGTTACTACTGGGGCCCCAAAGAGCACGAGAGGATCATGATATCAGACTATGTAGATGCGACATCTCTGTCTACCTACTTGTCTGGTAAGATGGTTCCTTTCCTTCACCCCTTTACTCAACATTTTCTGTTTCGTGCTCAATATGGACGTTTTCTGATGCATATTTCTTTCTAGAATTTGATGAGCGGAATCTCCCACCCCTATCAGTTGGACAGCGGCTAAATATTGCGATCGATATTGCCCGCTGTCTAGATTACCTGCACAATGAGCGGGTGATTCCACATGGCAACATCAAGTCGTCTAACGTCCTGATTCAGAACTCCACTCCATCTGCTCTGGTAACTGACTACAGCCTTCACAGGCTGATGACTCCGATTGGCATGGCCGAGCAGGTCCTAAACGCTGGTGCCCTAGGATATTCCCCACCTGAGTTTTCAAGCACCAGCAAGCCATGCCCATCTCTGAAGAGCGATGTGTACGCTTTTGGTGTCATTCTGCTGGAGTTGCTGACAGGGAAGATTGCTGGTGAGATCATCTGCATGAACGACGGCGTGGTCGACCTGACCGACTGGGTGAGGATGCTGGCTCTGGAGGAGCGTGTCTCAGAGTGCTATGACCGGCACATCACGGATGTTGAGAGCTCGGAAGGCACCCCGAATGCGCTGGATGGCATGCTGCGCATAGCGATCCGGTGTCTCCGGTCCGCATCCGAGAGGCCGGAGATCCGAACAGTGTTTGAGGATCTCTTGTCCCTATCGTCGTGACCGTAGTTCTTGATAGTGTACATCTCGTACTTACATGAGCTTGTGGAAACTTGGAGGGTATACTAACAATTGCTAGGATTTTGGGGTGATGTGTGTGTAGTCTCCTTGAGAATTCATTGTTTGGGTCGCTCTTTCTGGGAATAGTTGATTCGTTTTTACCTAGTTCACAATTTTAGCAGTAGATGATTGCGAGAATAAGTTTGTGCATTGTGATTTCAGACATCAAAAAGGAAAATAAAGAAAGTCTTATTGATTTGTTGCTCTCCCGTGGTATGTATTCGTATGTAACAGTAATCAAATCCCCAAATATTTACAGTTAGATATTCCAAGATTCTCTTTCAGAGCATGAACTTGTAATTCAGAAGCCAGCGCCTTTTGTGAATATAATATATTTCTGACCTGGAGCCTTCAGCAGAGGGCATATCATCTTAATAATGTTGCTTGATGCTTCCATGTATCATCTTAATAATGTTGCTTGATGCTTCCATGTATCTGATTCTTACAGAAACGGGCGATTCTTGCTTCACACATAATCAAGGCCGGAGAGGAATGCAGCAAGAAGATATGCTTTTTCAACAGAGAGAGGGAGGTTGGCAAAAGCACTGCCCATTTTCGAATTTGCTGAGAGAGGATCGCATCGAGTCTTTCTAGGAGCTTTGTTCCTAGATGTTGCTAAAGGGCTCTGCTCCCTGTGTCCCAAAATATCTGTCGTTCTCGCTTCCTAAGAAATAACTTTAACTAATTTTAAATAAAAAATATTAATATTTATGATACATAATTAGTATCATTAGACAGGTCTTTAATTTTATTTTCATAATAAATTTATTTGGAGATACAAATGTTGCATGTATTTTCTACAAATCTAATTAAACTTGTGGCACGGAAAAAAAATGACAAATAATATGGGACCGAGGGAGTAGGTACATTGAGTTGATAGTGCCAAGATGAAGCTCTATATCATCCATGAGTAGCCTACCTGCAGCCTGTTCGGGAGGCCGTATCGTATCGTGGATTATTTACTGCTGGCTGGTTTGGTGTGAGAGAAAAACACTGTTTCCGGCTGAAAATTTACGATCGTTTACGAGCAAGCGAACAGGCTGCTGGTCGATGAGATTGGATCTTTTCTTCATCTTCTCCACCAAGCTAGAGGGTGGGAGGCCCTCTAAGCTCAAACCATGTCCATGGGGAAGACCTTGGGGCTCCTTCCATCAGCTTGGTGGTCTTCTTGGCGAGGGGAAAGACATGTGGACGCCTCGGATGTACGTCATTCTCAAACGATCCTTTTCTAAAAGCTTCTCTTCGTACATACTCCGTCTTTTTTTTAATTTTGTCGCTCTCACTTCTCGAAAAAGCAAACATACTTAACTTTGATCAATTATATAAAAAATATTAATATCTATAGTACATAATTAGTATCATTAGGTAGATTGTTGAATCTATTTTCTTAATAAACATATTTAAAAATATAAATGTTGATAATATTTTCTATAAATCTAGTAAAATTTAAGAAAATTTGGCTGACGTGAGTATCGTAGCGGCAGATAAAAAGGGTAGGAGGGACTACACACTCACCCTCTCCCCCGAGGGATGCAGCTGATCGCCTCTGTGTCCAAGGCATTTTACATATCACTGAAAAAAACATTTAGCCAAAAATAGAAACGATTGTGTTATTACTTTGTGGTACGAATCTCATACTGTACATTTACCATAACAAATTTAACCAATTGAGCTCCGTCTGTGGTCAAACGGTTTCCAAATATAACGAACTCATATTCATAGGGATATATAAAAAAATTAAAAATTACTGAAATATGCAGAAAAGAAAAATCCCTTGGATAGTTTATAGTTAGACACCTTTGGACATTGCTGCCTAGACAAGTAGACAAACGATCCGTATCTGTCGCATGGTAATATTCGCCCTTGTTCTTGAGAACACGCAAAGGCGCAAAGCCATACTCAAATTCGTTAAAAAAAATACAAAAACGATTGCTCACGTTCAGCTCGTTTATCCCTGGAAGGCTGGAATACGTCAATTTCGCGGCAGACACCCTCAAAACCCCCCACAAACCCCCTTGGGCCTTCGCCACCGGCCATCCTTTCCTTTCTTTCCTACTCCAATCCGGCAATCCCCCGCACCCTCCAGGAGTCCGGGCTCCGGCCTCCGCCCCTCCACCACTCCACCCTCTTGTCCCCGGAACCTTCTCGATGCTTCTCTCGCGAAGGTTCTCCTGCGCTCCCTCGCCCGCGCCCCTCTCTCGTACGGGGCCGGCCCCTTCCTCCTTGCGCCGCCCGCACCACCCCTCCGGCCCCCCGCCCCCCGCCCCGCCGCCTCATGTCTTCCTCCTCCGCCGGGTGGCAGCACTCCTCGCACCGCCCCCCGCCGCCGCCTCCTCCTCCTCATCTCGGCGCTGACAAGGTATTTGGGTCACATGCTTAGATTATTGACAGTTTTGCCCCTTGGACCGCCTAAGCGCCTTGCGTCCTGTCCTGTGCCACTGCACTGCAGGACCAGCTGTTCAGGGGGCTGGAGGCGGCGCTGGGCACCACGTTCAGCTCCGAGCCGCTGGCGCCGCCGCCGCAGCCGATGATCCTCGTCATCAGCGGGCCCAGCGGTGTCGGCAAGGACGCCGTTATCAAGGTCACACTTCATTGCGATCCCTAATCCCACTCACCTTTGCTGCGGGCCATTGGTTTCTGATTGGCTTTACAATGTCGGGTATGGGTTGTTCTGCAGAGGCTGCAGGAGGAGAGGAAGGATCCATTTCGTTGTCACCGCAACGAGCAGGGTGATGAGGCCAGGTGAAGTTGACGGGAAAGACTATTACTTTGTCAGTAAGGAGGAATTCCTGACGATGACTGAGAGGGAGGAATTGCTTGAGTATGCACTTGTTTATGGGGAGTACAAGGGATCCCCAAACAGCAGGTATTTGATCGTGGTTATATCATTACCTGTTTGCATCAGGACGATTTCTTGCCTGCAGATTGGTGTGCATACACATGCTGGATAAGTTAAGATTTAGGAAAAGCAGTACCTAACGGTTTACGATTACCATATGCACTAACAATGGTTTACTTATGCACTTATGATGTTATGACTATTCAGTACGAACAACTCAATCTTCTGTATCATTGCGGAAAAATGTGTTATGGCCTTGTGGGTATGAGTGGTGTGGCTGGAATTTTGCCAATGGCACTGCAGACCTAAGTGATGTGAATAACCATAGAAGTTAGAAATTCAGTGGAGAAACCATCATATCGCTATCAATTTTTTTGCCCCAAAAATTAAATACACACGAATTTGTACTGTTGACCTAATGCCTGGTAAAAATCAACTTATATCACACAATAATTAAAGACCGTAAACATTGCCTGGTAAAAACTTGTTCCATTATCTTTATCTGCTTGATGCGTTGCTACTTGCTAGGTTTGTTTAGTGCTTTATATACAGGGATAGTTACAGTATATTTCAGAGCTGTCTAGATTAAAATATTCTTATGGCTTACCCAAGCTCATCCCATAAAAAACCAAGAAAAGGGCACTCCACTTTATATGCGAAGCAGAGCAGTTCAAAGTTCAAGCCATGTAGGTCACAAATATCACTACAGTAGAATATGTTTGCAAATGTCAGCTGCCTTATTTGCTACATATGTCAAGTGAGTTATGGGGTACAGCAGGGAATACCATACCATGACTTGAGCATGCTGGTGACTAGTACATGTGCAATGTGTTTAATCTGCTGTTTGATTTTTGCCTACTATAAACTGATCACTTGGAAGGGCGGGCCTGGTGCAAGCGGTAGAGTCTTACCGCCTGTGACCGGAAGGTCCCGGGTTCGAGTCGCGGTCTCCTCGCATTGCACAGGCGAGGGTAAGGCTTGCCACTGACACCCTTCCCCAGACCCCGCACAGAGCGGGAGCTCTTTGCACTGGGTATGCCCCTTTATAAACTGATCACTTGAATTTGATCTATGGTGCTTGATTGAAGGTTCAAAAATCTCAATGTGTTATAGAGTATTGCTTTAGTTCTATGGATTTCTGCAAAAATGTTGCTTACTGGCTTTCTAGTTTCACTGTCTCTAGCATTCTGTAGTGCTGTGTGTCGTTTACTCACTTTACTCAGTTTCAGTTACATCGACTTGATTGAAAGAATCTGCTAACATGTATTGACGTTAATTTCATAGGACTCCCTAGAAATGAAATGAAAATTGTGTATTTTGGGTTAAAAACCACAATGGACTGAATGCAGTCCACCTACATATTAGAGCCAAAGAAATTATGTATGTATTTTGGGGTAAAATTCTAGACATGTCTGAAGAAGTGGTCCTTTTTTTGTGCGAAAACTGAAGACATGGTCTACCTACAAAAATTTCTCATACATGTTCTGTTTTTCATCTAGATTCGTGACTACATGGCTAAAGGCTGTGACATTGTTCTGAGAGTGGACATTCAAGGAGCATCAACTTTAAGACAGATACTTGGTGAATCTGCAGTTTTCATATTTTTAGTTGCTGAGAGTGAAGAGGCACTTGTTAAAAGGCTAATCCACCGTAAAACAGAAACATCAGATATGCTTCTTGTCAGAGTTGCAACAGCCAGGGAGGAGGTGAAACGCATGAAGAATTTCGACTATGTGGTTGTAAACGCTGAAGGGAAACTTGAGGAGGCTGTTAAACAAGTGGAGTCTATCATTGATGCTGAGAAGGCTAAAATTCACAAGCGGCATGTCAATATCTAAGCTAAAAATCATGTGATTTATGCCTAGTGTCTTCATCTGTTTGAAGGAAATTATCTGTCCAAGTTTGCTGAAGTGTGAAGAAATGACTTTCAGGTTTCAGTAGCCAGAAAGTTCAATGGATTGCTGACATGTTCTATTTAAGGAATTTCCCTGACCACAACCAGGGCAGTGCACACTCTCTGGGACATATACACGATTCTCTTGTTATTTGCCTCTCTTTTTTTCCTTTGATTTTTAGTTCTGAAGGGAAGATCTGAAGGGCTGTACCAAACTAGTTCTGGGTGAATCTTAAGTGATGGACTATCCTTCTCAATTTCGTACTGACTAGTGTTGTTGGGCATGCTCAAGAAATTTTTTTGAATGTCGCATGCTCAAGAAATCTGTGCCCCAAATAGCAAAATTGCTAGTTTGGCTGCAAATTGAATTGCCTTGTTTTTTCCCAGTGCCAGAATAGGTGTTGCTGGAATTCTTCCTCTTGCTCAATGTGCTCTTAATGAAGTCTTTCATATCTGTTGGGAACTTTTGTTTTTGTGTGAGGGTGCGTGCGGAATACTGTAAACCATGTTTGCGCTGTTTAAGCATCTGGTACTATGTTGCAGCTGATTTTCGACATCATCGCTTGTGATTTGCAACATTAGTTTAAATACAGAATTGCTATCTTGTGCCTGGTTGTTTCATCCGGCCCCAGCACCCGGATTTCAGAATTGCTATCTTGTGCCTGGTTGTTTCATCCGGCCCCAGCACCCGGATTTCTGGCCGTGCGATCGCATCAGCAGGCAGGCGTGGCAGGCGTGGGGACCGGTAGATGCATTGCAGTCTTGCAGAGGGAGAAGGGTGAAAGGATAAAGATGCCCAAGAGCAGAGAGTGAATTGGGTTAATTCTAAAATTCTTTACAATAATTAAATTCTACACTTAGCCCACTTCACCCATTGTGACTAGAAAGTGTTTCTAATGTTCTACCGCATAAAAGTTTTACAACATAAGTTTCAATCCTACTCTAGTATGATAATTCTAAAAATGTAAAGACAATAATTGAATTGTTTAAAGTAAATGCTTAGAGTAAAGAGAGAAGGAAGAACACGATGATGTTTTACCAAGGTATCGGAGAGTTGCCACTCCCCACTAGTCCTCGTTGGAGCACCCGCGCAAGGGTGTAACCCTCCCTTGATCCGTGCAAGGATCAAGTGTTCTCTACGGGTTGATTCTTCGACACTCCGTCGCGGTGAATCACTCACAACCGCTCACAACTTGAGTTGGGTCATCCACAAGCTCCACCGGATGATCACCAAACTCTCAATCACCACCAAGCCGTCTAGGTGATGGCGATCACCAAGAGTAACAAGCAAGAACTCTCACTTGACCACAACAAGCCTAATGAGAAGGGTGGATGCACACTTGCTACTCTCTTTTCACTAATGAGGCTTCTCTCTTGGATTCTTAAATCTCAATCACCTCACTAGGACCTTGCTCTCCTTGACACTCTCAAGGGTGTTTCTCAGCTGTTGAAATGAGCAAAAGTCATCCCTTGAGTGAATAGAGGAACTATTTATAACTCCTCATTCAAAACAAACCATTATGTGCCTCTGCGGGGTGACCGGACGCTCCGGTCAGTTCCCCCGCCACTGAGCCATTAAGTTGTGACCGGACTCTGACCAGCGTCCGGTCAGCACTGACCAGACGCGTCCGGTCACAAAAACTGTTCTCTGGAACCTTACTGATGTTGACCGGACACTGGCACCCAGTGTCCGGTTACTTTACTGATCAGCGTCCGGTCAGTAGCCGGAACCTAACCAGCATCCGGTCAGCACTAACCGGACGCGTCCAATCATGATTCTCCCTCTCTGGAACCTTACTGGAGTTGACCGAACTCTGGCACCCAGCGTCCGGTCATATTTCACTCAGCGTCCGGTCGCATCCAGACGACTTCACCTTGATAAAATGAATTGACCGGACTCTGCGCCAGCGTCCGGTCACACCGGAACCAGCGTCCGGTCAACATTTAACCCTCCATTCACTTTCAACTCGTAATCGTATGTGAATGAAATTTACTCCAATTGATCTTAGGGCTACTTAGGAGCTACCTAGAGCTAGATTTGACAAGTGTGCACCTCACCTAACCCACTAGAGTCATCTAGGTCAAGCTACTAGTCTATACCCCCCTTAATAGTACGGCCAAAGGAAAAATAAGATCCTAAATTACTCTAAGTGTCTCTTCAACACCAAACGATATTTAGAACTAGTCCATCCTTAACCTTATCGTCCATCCTTTGAAAACCGAAACGATTTCCATCGTATGGGCATGGCAACCATGATTGCCCAATCAATTGCCATTACCATGACCTAACTTAATTGCATCTGCAAAATACACGTTAGTTATAGTAATCACGTATTGTCATTAATCACTGAAATCCAACTAGGGACCTAGATGCTTTCAAAGGGCAACCGCATGCAGCCGCGCGTCAAGAGGCAGGCGTGGGGACCGGTTTAGCTTGCACAGAGAGAGAGGAAGGGTGTGGGGCCCATGCGTATGCAAGATCAAGAGGCGGTGCGGCGCATGCATTCTTTAGAGAAACGCATAAGTTATCATTTGTAGAGGAAACATAAAGGCCCGTTAAACTATTTGAAACTTAATGAAAACACTGTTTACAATTGAATTGTTGTGAGAAAAAAAATATTGTTCCTACCAAAAAACAAATTTGAATAGTGCATATTATAAGGTAAGCGAACGAGACAAAAAAAGCCGATAAAGATGCTAACAACCAGGCCACACCCAGAGGCCTATGCTGGTACTTTTTTTTTTCTTTTGTTGTTATTTTGTATTTTTCTTTTCATTTTGTCTAATTTTGTTTTTAGTTTATTTTTGTCAATTTCAGTTTTATTTATTGCTTATCGATTTCAGTTTCATTATTTTAGTTTTTTTATTCAGTTATTTGAGTTTGTTTTCTTTTTTTTCCAGTTTTCAGTCAAATTTTTTATTTTTTAGTTTCAGTTTTCAGTCAAAAATTTTTAATGTTTTTTTAATTTTATATAGGATAGTGTAAGCGCAACATTTAGTTGCTGCCCTTTAATAAATGTGGTCAGATTTAGTAACTTTCAGTTGTCAGATTGAATGCCGATGTGTTTATTTGTCTGTAGTTTTGTTTAACCGTTGGATCTACATCATAGGGTTTGAAATTCGTTTGTTTTTGTTTGCTCCGACAGTCGTTTCTGGGTCTTGGTAGAATCTGGTTGTTTTTTTATTTCTTAGTTTCAATTTTCAATCAATATTTTTTAACGTTAGTGTAAGCGAAACATTTAGTTGCTGCCATTTAATAAATATGGTCAGATTTAGTAACTCTCAGTTGTCATATTGATGGCCGATGTGTTTATTTAGCTGTAGTTTTGTTTGACCGTTGGATCTAGAAAAAATCTAAAAAGGCGCATCCTCTCTCTCCATCAAGAGTAATGAACAGCGGTCCTGCCACCACGCCGCAGAACAGAAGCTCGTGTGGAACCTTGATTTCTGGCGTAACAGCGGTGGAAGGTATAAAAATATTACGGCCGCATAACATAGGGGCCTACGCTAAGGTCGGCCAAAATATGGACACCCGAAGGGCCCGGCGCACACAATCCTATCCTATCTGAGCCACATCATAGGGTTTGAAATTCGTTTATTTTTGTTTGCTCCAACAGTCGTTTCTTGGTCCTGGTAGAATCCGGTGTTTTTTTTTTGCTCTGCCAACAACCGACTCTTCGTAGGACTAAAACAACCGTCTATTACGTAGACAGACTCTTTAAATAATGTCCTTTCCTGTATGGTTTCCCTTTTGCAATCATTCTTAAGGCCATCAACAACCACAAGAAGTAGGCCTGCTCCATGTACGGCAATAATTTCAGGTCTCTGAGAGATGCTTTTGCATGACCGTTAATTGGTTCCATGAGTTTTGCTAAGTTTTGTTGCTTGAGGTTTCATTAAACCGATTAAACGGGTACGAAATTTAGCTGGATGGTATCATCTGCCAGTCGCTGGCAACTGTTCCGGCACCAGCAAGAGAGGAGAGACACCAAGCATTTGCCAGTTGCCACGAATAAATTCTTTTTTTTTTAAGTGCCACGAATAAATTCTTGCCGCAAGCTGTAAGCTACTACGCATGAAATGGCTGTAAGCTGCTATGCATGAAATGGTGATGCACAAACTGGACGGACATTACTGACACCAGTCATATCATTTTCAACCTGATTTTTTTTTGAGTGGATTCAACCTGAAATTTCTTACCATGCTCTCTCTCACGATCTGATCTGCAATCAAGTTTAGTAAAATAAGAAGCTCCAGCTAACTCATCCAATAACTCATCCACAACTGGTAGGGGATACTTATTCTTGACAGTGATAGCATTGAGCTGTCTGTAATCCACACAGAACCTCCATGTCCCATCCTTCTTCTTCACCAACAAAACAGGTGATGCAAAAGGGCTCACACTTGGCTGAATGATTCCACTCTTAAGCATCTCTTGCACTTGTCTCTCAAAAAGGCGTACCCAGTGCTCAAAAAAGGCGTGCAGGTCTGAGAGCTCCCGCTTCTGTGGGGTCCGGAGAAGTGTGTCGCTGGCAAGCCTTACCTCGCCTATGCAATATGAGGAGACCGCGACTCAAACCCAGGACCTTCCGGTCACAGGCGGTAAGACTCTACCGTTTGCACTTGTCTCTCAATTTCAGTCTTTTGCTGAGGAGCATACTTGTATGGCCTCACATTGACTGGTTGAGCTCCTTGAATTAGAGAGTTTTGGTGATCATAGGCTCTAGAAGGAGGCAACTCAGTTGGCTCTTGAAACAGCTTATCATACTTCTGAATGACCACTGCAAGTTGATCTTGAAAGCCAGACTGGTCAATTACAGATTCCATTAGTGCACTGCTGGGGGAAATAGAGTCAATATCCAAAGGAATGACAGCTTTATTTCCAGCATATGAGTGACAGCTTGTTGTCTTAACAACCCTTTCAATTTCCTAACTGAAATGGGACTAGCTGATGGAACAACATCCTTCACACCACTCAAAGTGATTCTTCTGCCCATGTGTGTGAATTTCATGATTTTCTTTTTCCAATGAAACCACATAGGGCTATGTGCCTCCAACCAATCAGCTCCAATGATCATGTCATAACAGCTTAATGGAATAACTCTGGTGTCATACGTGAAAGTGTGTCCTTGAACATGCCAATGCAATTTTGGAACAACACTATCAGATACCATTGGTGATCCATCAGCAGCAAGAAAATTGAGGGCTTCACAGTCTTTCAAGGAATGTTGCAGCTTAGAAGCCACCTGGGTGCTAATGAAAGTTGCAGCACTCCCAGAATCAACTAAAATGAGAATCTCTTGGGAGCCAATGTGACCTCTCAGTCTCAAAGTCCTGTTCCTTTTCTTCACATCAGCAATGGAACTAGCAACTGGCTTCACTGCCATGACCACCCTGACCAGCCTGTGCTTCAGAATCCTCCTCAGAAGAGTTGTAATCCTCATCAGGTTCTACTTGCACTGCCTCAAGCAATTCTTGGATCACATGCAAAGGTATTTGTGTGGGGCATTTATGATTTCTCCCTGTCCACTTCTCCCCACAAGTGAAACAAAGATTGTTAGCTCTTCTATGAGCTCTAAGAGCCAACAGCTTGTCTGAAGTAGGATTGGGCACAGAATTATCAACTGCCTTCCCTTCCTCCTTTCTTTGCCTTGATCTATCTGAGCTGTTACTGAACTTGAACAGAAATCTTCCAGAGTCCCTATGGTCAGACTTGAACTGGGATTTGCTCCTGGCTGCTTCTAAGCCCGTGTTTAGTTGCAAAAAAGATTTCCCAAAAAGTACTACAGTATCCATCACATCGAATCTTGCGATACGTGCATGGAGCATTAAATGTAGACGGAAAAAAAAGCTAATTGCACAGTTTGGTGGGAAATTGCGAGACGAACGTTTTGAGCCTAATTAGTCCATGATTGAACACTAATTGTCAAATAAAAACGAAAGTGCTACAGTAGCCAATTTCCAAACTTCAGCCAACTAAACACGGGCTAACTCAGCTTCCTGCAGTAAGGCCAGAGTACCTGCTGTCTCTAAGTTGGGTGGCCTATGCAATGTGATGGGAGCTCTGATTTCCTCATTCAATCCTCCCAAAAACCGAGTGACAAAGAAGACATCATCATAAGAAGGATTGTACAACAAAATACTGCCAATTGCTCAAAGCTCTTCTGATAATCTGCTACAGAGCCTGTTTGACGAAGGTTCTCCAGTTGCTTCATGTGCAAGGGGTACTGATCTTTGTCAAAGTGGGCACAAACCGCTGTATGCATAGCCTCCCAATTCTGAAGCCGTCCTCTCAACTGAGCAGTCTGAAGCCAAAGAGCTGCTGAGCCGATGAAATTCAAGGTAGCAAATCTTGTCTTCATTGCTTCTGACACCCCATAGATCTCAAAGTACACCTCGCACTGCTCACGCCATAGCCTTGGATTGACACCATCGAACTTGGGGAAATCCATCTTGGGCGTGGATCCGGCATGATATGTATGAGAATGCGAACCAGGAACAAGATTTGCAATATGAACAGAGAGATCTGGAATCGTACCCTGGGTGTTAATCGGCGGAGGGTCGGTTCCCGGAATCGGACCGAGAATCCCTCTGCCCGCGCCGTGCCCGTTGGGCTGTTCCTGAGAGGAAGCAGACGGGTGCTCCCCTGGCGATGGAGCGCGGTTGAGGTCGACGCTCCCAGCAATCCAGCCTGCCGGTGGAGGCGGTGGTGGAGTTGGGTTCGGCGTCTTCTCCAGTGTGCGTGATCCTCGCCGCCGTCTCCGTTGTCTTGGTGAGCAACGAACCGAGCGAGGTGTCGGTGGTGGCTCGCCAGGCCTCGAACTCCGTCATCTTGTCGAGCATCTGCTGCATCATAAGCGTCAGGTTGTCGACGTTGTTCGCCATCTTCGCCTGCAACGATGGAGCTCTCTTCTTCGGCGCCAGACCGGATTCAGCGACCAGATAATCGGGGAAGAAAAAATTCCGCCGAGGATGATGGCTCTAGTACCAATTTGTCACGAACTAGCACGGATTTGGAGGGATTGAGGCAGAATCCGGGGTAGGGTAGCAAGAATTTGAGGGAGCCGAAGAGCAAGAACAGCAAGAACAGGGGGCGTGCGGGATAGAGGATTGGGGAAACAATTCGGAGTTCTGTTATTCGATAACCGTTTCAGCTACAGCTACAAGGCATATATGCCACTCCACCGCCTACCAATCTGGGCCGAGCCCCTACACCTACTCGGGCCAAGCCCAGAACAAGACAACCCGCGAGGCCCAACTTCTCTTAGCCACTTGACTTCTTCCTTCTCCCTCCCGCCTTGCTGGTCATGACACCCAAGCCTCTAGGATAGTTGGCCGTCAGTTGGGCCAATAGCCCAACCTCCCAAACATTTACGTTTCTCAGGCCTGCTTGCATAAATACCGCTCGCGTGACAAAGGAAGGAATGACAAACGCGGCACGGGCCCAACCTGACCCAACCCAACAACGCTGCCGGGCCCGGTGCCAGTTGCGGCTGGTTTACGTTACGCGCAGGCGCAGCGTGCCACTTTTTTTTTGCCGTCTGCCGCTTTTGCGCTGCCACTCGCTGTCGCCCGGCTGCCGACCCTGGTCCAAACCGCAGCCCCTTTCCCTTCCACTTCCGTCTCCGGCTCTCCGCGTGCGAAGCCACCGAGTCAACAGCAGCACCTACCCCGCCTCCTTCCACCTCCCAAAACCCAAGTAGGCTTTGCCCTCGCGGTCGCAGCCAGCGAACCCTAATGGAGATCGCGGAGGCCCTGCAGGCCTACACGGGCCTCACGCCCGGGGCCGCCGCCACCATCCTCGCCCTCATGGTGGCCACCTACCTCCTCGTCTCCTCCCTCTTCGTCGCCCCCGCACCCGCGCCACCTCCCAAGCCGCCCCAGCAGCAGCGCGAGGGGGAGAAGGCACAGGAAGAGAAGGAGGAGGAGGAGCCGATGCCTTTCGTGTACCCGGACCCCGTGGAGGTGGGCGAGGTCACGCTCGAGCAGCTCAGCGCGTACGACGGCAAGGACTCCTCCAAGCAGATCCTCATCGCCATCCGCGGCCAGGTCTACGACGTCTCCCGCGGGAGGTGAGGATTGCACTCCATTCTGCTCCCTCCGATTTGGTCGGGATGCGGCCTGATACGCTGCTCATCGAACAGAATCTGCTACTGTAACATGATTTCGTTTCAAGCGGAAACTGTTTATAAGAATCCAATACGTAGTGCTAATTGCACAAACTAGTTAATAGTTATGAGGTGGCAATGGCTGATCTACGTTTGACGGTGAGATGGTCTGCATTAAGGTGAAGAGCTTGAGCTGCTGTGTGTAGTTATTAGGTGGATTGTGATTTGCCAAACTAGTGACGCGAATGGTCCATTTGATCCAGAAACTGTAAGGCATTAGTCTGATATAAAAAACACCATGAGGCCTGAGCTTATATTAATTCAAATGCGGAGCAGGCGCAGACATATAACTATATTGGGTGCTACTTAGACCTGTGAGTTATGGTTTATTAGTACATCATGTGCCTGAGCACATGCTCAAATGGTTTGGTTTAACTAGAAAATGAGATGCAGATATTATGATATTATGTCAACGGTGAGTATTGTAGGCTGTAGCTCAATTTTTGTTATGGAATGACATACAGAGATGCACCAGTATCTAGGATTCTAGGTTAGATGTTTCATGTTTGGTGAGATATATGCACCAGAATCTAGGTTAGAGCATCTCCACCAGACCTCTTATATTGCATCTCCTATAAATTGCTTCAAGAGAGTACCCTAAAATCAAGTTAGGATATAGGAGATTATTGCTTCCGCAGATTACCTAAAATTTGTCTCCTATATTTCTTTTAGGGATAGGGGAGACCGGGAGAGGGGGTTGTCTCCTTTATTTAGGAGAGAGGGTGCTTCTTTTAGGAGATCTCTTAAAAATTATAGGTATAGGAGATGAAATAGGAGATTTGCTGGTGGATATGCTCGATCTTTCATTTTGATGTAAAATATTTTATCAGGTCCAGTATAGCTATATTCTAAAATTAGTCAAGTATTAAATCTAGTACATTAGTTTCCTTGATTGTAATACTCAGTGGATAGATATTTAGCGTTCATCTTATGGAAGCTATCAGTTTAGAATTTAACCTATAGTGCAATGTTAGGGAGGACAACACCTTGTTTAGCTTCATTATAGTGAAATCGGAATTGTAAAACAAAAAAAAAAGTTTTATGCTTCCTTGTCTGGCTGAACTATTTCTAGCAGCTCTGAAGCTAAACTCCCTTGTTTACTTAAGGGCTATCTGGTTTCTGTACCTTATAATATTTTGATGAAGTTTTCATTTGGACTCCAATTGATGCTTTCTTCTGAAATTACTGGGTCCAAACACCATCATATTTAGTTTACACTGCATTTTAGTTTTGTATCCGTTGCTATGTGTCGGATACCATAAAAAGGGGTACCCTAAACAAGAACCGAAAAGATTGCTTAGACCTTACAAATATCAAAGCCGAAGGACAGCCACGGGGCCTCGGCCGATTCTCCGATTCGCCCCGCCGAGGCCCTCTTGCCGAGGCCGATTCTCGCCGAGGCCCTCTCGCCGAGGCCGATTCTCCGATTCGCCCCGTCGAGGCCCTTTTGCCGAGGCCGATTCTCCGATTCGCCTGGCGAGGCCCTCTCATGAGGCCGATTCTCGCCGAGGCCCTCTCACCGAGGCCGATTCTCCGATTCGCCCCGCCGAGGCCCTCTCGCCTCGGCCGATTCTCCGATTAGCCCCGCTGAGGCCCTCTCGCCGAGGCCGAGTCTCCGATTCGCCCCGCCGAGGCCCTCTCGCCGAGGCGATCCCTCCGCGAGTTGTCCCATCCATTTAATGCGTCCCGAATGCATCCGCTACGTCGACCCACGGTGGCGGTACAACAACAGAGCGATGTGACAACGGTCAAATCTCCTTTTACCATCCCTCATCGACGGCAGTGCGGGGTTGCCATGCCCCCAATGGACACACGTCCCGCATTTTTCCACCTAAACCGCACGCACGGCGACCATCGAGACCGCCAGATCGCACTCAGGTCACCTCCCAGGCCTCGGCGCGGCCGGCCACAGACACCTGCCAGGCCTCGGCGAACCACCAAGTCAAAAATTCACAAGGCACGGCATGTCACCTACAAAGGAGGCCATGCTGACTAAACGTCAACGAGGACCCCTACGACTTCAACGACCTCGGGCATGGCTTCTAGCATGACGCACCAAAGGATCAAGTACCAATTGCCATTCCCGACACTTTGTCTTTCACAGAATAGGCCACAAGATCGATCTTCCTTCCTCGCTAAGGCTCCACGTGTAACTCTCTCATGTACTCCTGGCTCCCTCCTTGTGGCTATAAAAGGAAGCAGCCAAGGCCGTTTCTAGGGGGAGAGACCACGCCGGCCCTCACGTGCAAACGCACTCACTCAATTCACGCGCGCTCCCACGCTGCTGAGAGCAACGACTCAAGCAGTCCGCACCACTCCACGCCGAGACCTGGGACTAGCTCCCTCTCTCACCCAGCTTGTAACCCTCTACTACAAGCACTTCGGTGCAAAGAATACAAGATCGATCTCCTAGACTGGACGTAGGGCACCGATTGCCTGAACCAGTATAAGCCTTGTGTCTCTTTGCATCACCATCCGGGATTAGGGGCACGCAGTTCGCATTTACTGGCTGGTTGAGGACCCCCCGGTCCAAAACACCGACAGTTGGCGCGCCAGGTAGGGGCCTCTATGTGTTAGCGTGATCGTCCCAACAAGTTTCGGATGGCTGGCCCCATACGTCCACTACATCTCGGCACGATGATCTGGTTCGGGAGCCGAGAGTTAATGTCTCTAGATACAAGTACGACATGGTACTCCTCCCACCCAGAGCCCCGTCAACCGACGGCGACATCACGCACTGCCAGCCTTCAGGCGGCGGCGGCGCTGAGCCGCCGCTCTCATCACGCCGCGCCCAGCGCAACGCGGGCGAGACCACCCAACACCACATGAGCTCATGGTGGCGCACTGCTGTTCTGCCGGCAAAACCATGTCATTGTTGGCACAAGGTCCACGGTTGGGGACTGACTTGCTCTGAGCACGACATGGTAACGCCGGCGGCAGACATGGCGGCGACGCCGTCGGTATCCCATGCCCATTGTTGGTCTGAGTCCACGGTTGGGGACTGTCTAGCTTAAGCTCAGGCGGGGAAAACGCCGGTGTACGGGCGGCGCCCCGCCATCAAGCTCGCCCGCCACCTCCTCGAGGAGCCGATTTCTTTCATCACCCCATTCGACATGTATTTGCTATGTGACTATGCCATTCGGTCTCGTAAATGCGGGGCCACGTACCGGCGCATGCACCACCCAGTCTTGGGCGAGCACATCGGAGGCGAACCGTCGAGGCCGGCGTGGGCGACATCAAGGACAAGTCCAGAAGGCCAAAGTGACCTCATCGATGACTTGGAAGTTGGTGGCCCGCCCAAGTACTAAAGCACGGACCTACAAGCTAGCCTCACGAGAAGGTCGAAATCCTCACCAACACTTGGAACATAGAACGAGATCGTCCGCTTCTACCCTTAAATTCCCAAGCATCATACAATTTTCCTCGAAATACAATAAAGAAGCGTTCTTTAATTGTTCTAAATTTTCGAGAACCCCCCGAGCCCATCAGTGCAGGTTCGGCGTTCTGATAACGGCCGGGGGGAGACTCGACTCTGCCTCTACAGAACCGAGCCTCCCTCGGGAGCTAGGGGGGAACCTCCCCCCCAAATCCCAAACTCTGTCTCGAACTCTGACAAATCAATTGCAAAAACCTAAGGACCGAAAGTTCGCCTTGAGGCCAAAAAGGCCCGGCCGAGGCAGTCATGAGATGACCCTCGCCTGCTCACTCAGCAACTCCCTCACCACCTTTCGCCCGAGGGGTAGCTTAGGCTCCAAGGAAGTTTTTGCAAAGGACTTGTCTAAAAAGAGACAGGGGGACACCGTTTTTTAGTCGTCTTTTCGAAAAATTTCCTACGCCGAACTCTCTCGCGTACTCTGACAAATCAATTGTAAAAAACCTAAGGACCGAAAGTATGCCTCGAGGCCAAAAGGCCGGCCGAGCCGCGAGACTGCCTACGCCTCTGGGCTACGACAACTCCCTCACCACCTTTTGCCAGAGGGGTAGCTTGGGCTCCGAGAAGTTTTTTGCAAGTGATATGTTCAGAAACGGAGCAGAGAGCAAGGGCTGGGAAACATAATAGAAAACGATTAAGATGCATATATACACAAGTACTGAAAAGGCCTCGACGACCACAAACGTTACGGTACAATGATGTACGTCCTAATCTATTACATGACCCCTTTGGCCCAGGTCAGAATACGGGGTCGCCAGCGTCGACGGACGGCGTAGGAGGAGCCACCTCCTCTTCGAACAGTCGGGCCAGTGCCGTGCCAGGGGAACTCCTGATCGCCCTCTCGCTCCGTGCAGAGGCTCGGGGGCTCTTCTTGCAAACTTGCCGGGGACCCAGCGACCCGCACTCGCACTCAGGGGCCCGGCAAACGCAATAAACTCCTCGCTCAACAGGAACAAAGCCCCTGGAGGAGTAAATCCACTCCTCCAGGGCCTCGGGGGCTACACCCGGCGGGTGCGCTCGCGCGCACCCACCGGAACCACGAGAACAAAACACAATCCCGACGGGAGCAGCTGCAAGCCAAATCTCGATAAACCCTCAGGGAGAGTGCTCGTACTCCCCTCGAGGCTCGGGGGCTACTGTCGGATACCATAAAAAGGGGTACCCTAAGCAAGAACCGAAAAGATTGCTTAGACCTTACAAATATCAAAGCCGAAGGACAACCACGGGGCCTCGGCCGATTCTCCGATTCGCCCCGCCGAGGCCCTCTCGCCGAGGCCGATTCTCCGATTCGCCCCGCCGAGGCCCTCTCGCCGAGGCAGTCCCTCTGGCAGGTTGTCCCATCCATTTAATGCGTCTGAATGCATCCGCTTCGCCACCCACGACCGGCGGTGGTGCAATAAAGAATGAGCGATGTGACAACGGTCAAATCTCCTTTTTACCATCCTTTACTGACGGTGCAGGGGTTGCCATGCCCT